CATTAGTGAGCTGAAATGGACTGGTATTGGCCATTTTGAATCTGACAACCACATAGTTTATTATGCCGGGAATGACAAATTGAAGAAGAATGGCATTACATTCATTATCAAAAAGAACATTTCAAGATCTGTCCTGAAGTACAAAGCTGTCTGTGATAGGATAATATCCATACACCGACAAGGAAGACCAGTTAATACCACTATTATTCAAATTTACACCAAAACCACTAAAGCCAGTCTTGATGAAATTGAAGAACTCTACCAACTTCTTCAGTCTGAAATTGATCAAACAAGTATCAAGATGCACTGACAATTATTGGCAATTAGATTGTAAAGGTTGGACACAAAGAGGAAGGATCAGTAGTTGGAAAATATGGCCTTGGTGATAGAAATTATGCTGGAGATGGCATGATAGAATTTTGCAAGACCAATGACTTCTTCATTGCAAATACCTTTTTTGAAACTTAACATAAAAGATGACTATATATATATATAAAAAGATGACTATACACATGGACCTCACCAGATGGAATACACAGAAATCAAATTGACTACATCTGTGGAAAGAGACAGTGGAAAAGCCAAAACAATGCCAGAGGCAGACTGTGGAACAGACAATCTATTGCGCATATGCAAGTTCAGGCTGAAGCTGAAGAAAATTAAAACAAGTCCACAAAAGCCAAAATATGAATATATTCCACCTAAATTTAGAGATCATCTGAAGAACAGATCTGATGCATTAGACAATAAAGACTGAAGACCAGAAGAGTTGTGGGATGATACCAAGAATATCACAGAGGAAGAAAACAAAAGGTCATTAAGAAGACAAGAAAGAAGGAAAAGACCAAAATGGATGTCAGAAGAGCTTGTGAAACTTGCTCTCCAGCATAGAGAAGCTAAAGCAAATGGAAGAAATGAGTAGGTAAAAGAGCTGAACAGGAAATTTCAAAGGGCAACTCAAGAAGACAAAGTTAAATATTGTAACGAGATGGACAAAGAAAGACGTGGAGTTAGAAAACCAAAAGGGAAGAACGTACTCAGCATTTCTCAAGCGTTGACTTCCAATATTGGAGGATTCTATTGGCAAAATACTGAATGATACAGAAAGCATCAAAAGAAGATAGAAGGAATACAGAGAGTCACATTGGCTCAACCATTACAAGAGGTGTTGTTGTTGTTGTTGTTGTTGTTAAGTGCCATCAAGTTGGTACCGACTCATAGCGACCTTATGCACAGCAGAACAAAACACTGCCCGGTCCTAGGCCAACCTCACTGTTGCCACGCTTGAGTCCATCCATGCTGCCACTCGGCCAATCC